TAGTAGTAGTAGTAGTAGTAGTAGTAGTAGTAGTAGTAGTAGTAGTATTAATTAATTTACACATATTTGGATTTTCTTTTTCTTTTTTTTTTGGTAATGAATTAATTTGATGTACAAAAGAATCTGAGGAGCAACTTGCCAGCTGGCTCCTTTAGTGAGCCGAGTGAAATTAGGGGCTCTCAAAAAAGAGCCGGAAAGCCCATCACTATTCTCTAATGTGAGAGGTACCAGCAGGACTTAAAAAAAAGGATGGAGATTGACAACAATGATTAAATAATAAAAATCCTCCACACACCCAGAGGAACCATGCCAATTACCGCCGAGTGAACCTTAGACAGGCCCCAAGATTGTTATTTGTGAACTCAAAATATAAAAATTGGGTTGCAATCAGATTTAGCTGTTTTTTTGGTTGTGAAAGTTTGCTTCGCAGAATGATTGCACCCTAGCTTCCAAGTGTTTTTGTCTAGGGATAAACATTAGAACAGTAATTCGGCTATCAAAATGTAATTCTACCTATTCATTCATAATGGACTGTGTTTTGTGAAATTATCTCATCTTAATTTAGGACTTTTGAGGAAAATCACCATTTTATTAAAATTTTATTTTATTTTTAAATGTCCTGCCTAGACATGAAAATCTCATATGGGCTTACGGCAAAATATACTACACTGCAGTTTTCTGTAAATATTTTGAAAAGATCTGTAATGCTATTTATTTTCATCATGAAATTGCTTGTGTTGTTTTTATTATGCATGTGTTTTCATACTAATACTGTTGCTGTATATTGTGTACAATAATTTGTGTTTGCAGGTGGTTCCTTTCAGAGGCCATATCTCAGGTGGAATGCACCCAGGGAAGAAGATTGTTGTGTTGGGCATTGTAAATTCCCGTCCTGATCGGTGAGAATGTATTAATTTAACTCTCTCTTTCCTATGCAAGCACTATCTACTGTAATTCTTTTATTGCATCTCCTAATCCACCCTACTTCATAAATGTGTCACTCCTAGACTTACATGCTGTTTAAATAGAGGGATTGTTGTTGATTATTTAAAACCAAAACCTTTGACCAAACATATGTTTAAAAAAGACAATTTTTAAACAGATCTTTAATGATTTTTTCTGAGGGCTAAATATTCCAGGAAATTTTCATTCCAATTAACTTTTCTTTTAATAAACTGTTTGACTGGTTGCCACACATGAAAATTCTCATTAGGCTAGTTATTGTTGCCTTTCCACTTTTCCGTTCAGGGGTCACCAGAGTATATCAGCCTTGTATGGTAGGTTTTGGCAGGAAGTTTTAGACCAGATGCCCTTCCTGAAGCATTCCTCGCTTATCCCAGCTTTGGTCTGGCACAAACAGGATACAGACAGCTGTAAATCGGCATAAATTAGTTTCTGTGTTTTTAAACTTTTCAGAGTTCCAAGCTAATAATCTTTCTAATACACTATTGTTATGGTATATAATAATACAGTAAGGCCTAAACTCAGAAACATATATTAAGTTAGTTTAGTGTAAAGGACAGGAGAAAAAAATATCCAACTGTATCCTTTGGATTTAATTAAATCCAGGGTACATACTATTGAAATATCTCAACCAGTGTAAAAGGCATACAGTCAAGGTTGTTTTTTTGTAATGCACAGTCCAATGAAAAGTACAGAAACTTAAGTACTACTTACTTTGTATTACAGGACAATCATAAGATAACTGTGGCTATATTACTGTTTTTCTTTTAGATTCTACGTTGCCCTGACATGTGGCCCTGGGACAACCAAAGAACCTCCACCTAATGTTGCACTGGAACTGTGTGTTCGATTCAGGGATCGACAAGTTTTGCGAAGAGCCTGCATGTCTGGATCCTGGGGAGATGTTGACAGAGCTATCCCTTACTTTCCCTTCATCAGGGACCAGCCATTTAAGGTAGATAGATAGATAGATAGATAGATAGATAGATAGATAGATAGATAG